TCACTCCCTCACTCACTCCCTCACCCACTCACCCACCCACCCACTCAGACACTCACTCACTCACTCACTCACACACTCCCTCACTCACTCACTCCCTCACTCACTCACTCCCTCACACACACACACACTCACTCACTCCCTCACTCACTCACCCATTCACTCACTCACTCACTCACCCACCCACCCACTCAGACACTCACTCACTCCCTCACTCACACACTCACTCACACACTCCCTGACTCACACACTCACTCACACACTCACTCACTCCCTCACTCACTTCCTCACTCACTCACTCATCCACTCACTCACTCCCTCACTCACACACACACACTCACACACACACTCACTCACTCACACACTCCCTCACTCACACACTCACTCACTCACACACTCCCTCACTCACACACTCACTCACTCCCTCACTCACTCACTCCCTCACACACACTCACTCACTCACTCCCTCACTCACTCACCCATTCACTCACTCACTCACTCCCTCACACACACACTCACTCACTCCCTCACCCACCCACCCACTCAGACACTCTCTCACTCACTCACTCCCTCACTCACACTCTCACTCAATCACTCACTCACTCACTCACCCACTCACTCACTCACTCACCCACTCACACACACACTCACTCACTCACACACTCCCTCACTCACTCACTCCCTCACTCACACACTCACTCCCTCACACAAACACTCACTCACTCACTCCCTCACTCACTCACCCATTCACTCACTCACTCACCCACCCACCCATTCAGACACTCACTCACTCCCTCACTCACACACTCACTCACACACTCACTCACTCACCCACTCACACACACACTCACTCACTCACTTCCTCACACTCACTCATCCACTCACTCACTCCCTCACTCACACCCTCACACACTCCCTCACTCACTCACTCACCCACTCACACACACACTCACTCACTCACACACCCACTCACACACACACTCACTCACTCACCCACTCACACACACACTCACTCACTCACACACTCACTCACTCCCTCACTCACTCACTCCCTCACACACACACTCACTCACTCCCTCACTCACTCACCCATTCACTCACTCACTCACTCACCCACCCACCCACTCAGACACTCACTCACACACTCACTCACTCACTCTCTCATTCACTCTCTCACTCACACACACACTCACTCACTCACTCACCCATTCACTCACACACTCACACACTCACTCACTCACACACTCACTCACACACTCACTCACTCACCCACCCACCCACTCAGACACTCACTCACTCTCTCACTCACTCTCTCACTCACTCCCTCACTCACTCCCTCACTCACACACACACTCACTCACTCCCTCACTCACTCACACACACACTCACTCACTCACCCACTCACACACACACTCACTCACTCACCCACTCACTCACTCACTCACCCACTCACTCACTCCCTCACTCACACACTCACTCACTCCCTCACTCACTCATTCACTCCCTCACTCACTCACCCATTCACTCACTCACTCACTCACTCACTCACTCACCCACCCACGCACTCAGACACTCACTCACTCCCTCACTCACACACTCACTCACTCACTCACACACTCACTCACTCCCTCCCTCACTCACTCACTCACACACTCACTCACTCACTCCCTCCCTCCCTCACTCACTCACTCCCTCACTCACTCCCTCACTCCCTCACTCACTCACACACTCACTCACACACTCACTCACTCACTCTCTCACTCACTCCCTCACTCCATCACTCACTCACATACTCCCTCACTCACTCACTCCCTCACTCACTCACCCATTCACTCACTCACTCACTCACTCACTCACTCACCCACCCACCCACTCAGACACTCACTCACTCTCTCACTCACTCACTCACACTCTCACTCTCACTCACTCACTCACCCACTCACTCACTCACCCACTCACTCACTCCCTCACTCACCCACTCACTCACTCCCTCACTCACTCACCCACTCACACACTCACTCACTCACACACTCACTCACTCCCTCACTCACTCACTCACTCCCTCACACACACACTCACTCACTCACACACTCCCTCACACATTCCCTCACTCACTCACACTCTCACTCACTCACTCACTCACTCACACACACACTCACACACACTCACTCAGTCCCATGCCAGGAGAGAGCTCACCAGGACACTGTCTGTCTGTGGAGGTGTGAACCCAGCGCAGGACAGCGAGGGCTTTCTGACGGTGCAGGATCTGTGCGAGTTCTTCAGCCCTCTCCTAAAGCCGCTGAGTTTTATGCTGACTGCACCGTAGCTCAGTGTAAAGGGGAAGGGAACGTGCCCAGCACACAGGTGGGTGAGCTTCAATACATTCTGCGGCTCTCCAGGTCAGGCATCTCTGACCTTTGATGTCGATGCTCTCAAAGGCACTGTAGCATCCACCAGTGTCTTGGGAGACACAGCACTCAGCAAATATCAGACTTCTCTCCTGGGTTCAAGTCCCACCATGGGCAAGTTTGAACCCAATAAAATTTGGCATTAAACGCTGGCAACATTTGTAAAACTCAAACTGGTTCAGTCATTAAGGGAAGAGGATATCTGTCGCTATAAAAGGGTGAAAAACCACAGCAGATGTTGCTGACTCTAAACTACCTTTTAGATTTGATTTGGTGATCGTCACATGTACCGAGATACAGTGAAAAGTGTTGTTTTGCACGCTAACCAGGCAAATCATACCTCACATCGGTACCTCAGGGTAATAGAACTGAATGCAGAATATAGTGTTACAGTACAGAGAAGCTTATAGAGTCATAGAGCTGTACAGCACAGAAACAGACCCTTCGGTCCAACTCGTCCATGCCAACCAGATTTTCTACATTAATCTCGTCCCATTTGCCAGCATTTGGCCCATATCCCTCTAAACCCTTCCTATTCATGTACCCATCCTTTAAATGTTGTAATTGTACCAGCCCCCACCACTTCCTCTGGCAGCTCGTTCCACCCTCTGCGTGAAACGTTGCCCCTCAGGTCCCTTTTAAATCTTTCCCCTCTCACCTTAAACCTATGCCCCTCTAGTTTTGGACTCCCCCACCCCAGGGAAAAGACCTTGTCTATTCACCCTATCCATGCCCATTATGATTTTATAAGCCTCTATAACCCCTCAGCCTCCGACACTCCAGGGAAAATAGCCCCAGCCTATTCAGTCTCTCCCTGTAGCTCAAACCCTCCAACCCTGGCAACACCCTTGTAAATCTTTTCTGAACCCTTTCAAGTTTCCCCACACCCTTCCTGGAACAGGGAGACCAGGCAGTATTCCAAAAGCGGTCTCACCAATGTCCTGTACAGCTGCGACATGACCTTCCCAACTCCTCCACTCAATGCCCTGTGCAGAGAGAGATGAACTCTAATATATGAGAGGTCTGTTCATCAGTCTGATAACGGCAGGGAAGAAGCTGTTCTTCAATCTGTTTTCAAACTTTTGTAACTTCTGCCCAACAGAAGAGGGTGGAAGAGAGTATAACCGGGGTGGGAGGGGTCTTTGATGCTGTAGGCTGCTTTCCCGAGGCAGTGGGAAGTTTAGATGGAGTCAATGGATGGAAGGCTGGTTTGTGTAAGGGACTGGCCTGTGTTTGCAACTCTCTGTAATTTCCTGCGTTGTTGGGAAGAGCAGCGGCCATACCAAGCTGAGATGCACCCAGATAGGAGGCTTTCTATGGCACATCTACAAATATTGGTAAGAATTATAAGAACATAAGAACTAGGAGCAGGAGTAGGCCATCCGGCCCCTCGAGCCTGCCCCGCCATTCAATAAGATCATGGCTGATCTTTTCGAGAGTCAGCTCCACTTACCCGCCCGCTCACCATAACCCTTAATTCCTTTACCGTTCAAAAATTTATCTAGCTTGCCTTAAAAACATTCAGCGAGGTAGCTTCAACCGCTTCACTGGGCAGGGAATTCCACAGATTCACAACCCTCTGGGTGAAGAAGTTCCTCCTGACCTCAGTCCTACATCTGCTACCCTTTATTTTGAGGCGATGCCCTCTAGTCCTAGTTTCACCTGCTAGTGGAAACAACCTCCCTGCCTCCACCTTATCTATTCCCTTCATAATCTTAGATGTTTCTGTAAGATCTCCCCTCATTCTCCTGAATTCCAATGAGTATAATTGTCCTTGTGGACAATGCCAAATTTCCCTCTCCTCCTGAGGAAGGAGAGACAATGTTGTGCTTCCTTGATCATAGCATCAACACAGATGGACCAGGATAGATCGCTGGTGATATTTACTCCGATCCACTCGAAGCTGTCGACCCACCTCCGCCTCAGTATCGTTTCAATTCCGACATTGTCACAGACACATTTTGTGCCTCAGACTAATGCGGTGACGACCAGCAGTGTCACGCACCTCTAGGAAGGCAAATGGATTTGTCAGGTCCCCCTGTGTTTAGTTATCGCCGGGTTGTCTGAGCCAGACGTGGGACATGCTGGTTTTTATTACCGGGGACATGGGAGTACAAAAACAAGCTGGGGATGGGGAAGTCTGTATCAAACACTGGTTCAGTATCAGCTGGAGAGTTGTGTCCAGCTCTGGGACCCATGATTTATGAAGAAAGGAGAAGCTTGCAGAATGAGGCTATAGAATAGAGATGATTCACGAGAAGGGGAAGTGGAGTCGCAGGTAGACAGGGCGGTGAAGAAGGTGTTTGGTATGTTTGCCTTTATTGGTCAGTGCATTGAGTATAGGAGTTGGGAGGGTCACGTTGCGGCTGTACAGGACATTGGTTAGGGCCACTTTTGGAACACTGTGTACAATTCTGGTCTCCCTTCTTTATTCATTCTCAGAGTGCGGGCGTTGCTGGCCAGGCCAGCATTTATTGCCCATCGGGCAGTTGAGAGTCAACCACATTACAGTGGGTCTGGAGTCACAGACCAGGTAAGGGTGGCAGTTTCCTTCCCTAAAGGACATTAGTGAACTAGATGGGTTTTTTCCGAGATTTGGCAATGGATTCACGGTCATCATCAGATTCTTAATTCCAGATATTTTTATTGAATTCAAATTCCACCATCTGCCGTGTGGGGATTCGAAACCAGGTCCCCAGAACATTATCTGGGTCTCTGGATTAATAGTCCAGCGATAATACCACTAGGCCATCACCTCCCTGCTATTGGAAGGATGGTGTTAAACTGGGAAGGGTGCAGAAAAGGTTTACGAGGATGTTACCGGGACTGGAGGTTTTGAGTTAAATGGATCGGCTGGGGCTATTTTCCCTGGAGTGTCGGAGGCTGAGGGGGTGACCTTATATCGGTTTATAAAATCATGAGGGAGCAGGGATAGGGTGAATAGCCAAGGTCTTTTCCCCCAGGATAGGGGAGTCCAAAACTAGAGGGGCATAGGTTTAAGGTGAGAGGGGAAAGATTTAAAAGGGACCTGAGGGGCAACTTTTTCACACAGAGGGTGGTGCGTGTGTGGAATGAGCTGCCAGAGGAAGGGGTGGGGGCTGGTACAGTTACAGCATTTAAAATTTCTGAAGAAGGCTCCTGACCTGAAACATCAGCTTTCCTGTTGCTCTGATGCTGCTTGGCCTGCTGTATTCCTCCAGCTCCACACTGTGTTATCTCTATATTTAAAAGGCATCTGGATGGGTACATAAAGAGGAAGGTTTTAGAGGAATAAGGGCCAAATGTAGGAACATAGGACTGGTTCAGTTTAGGATAGCTGGTCAACATGGACGGTTGGGCCGAAGGGTCTGTTTCCAAGACTCTGCAGGTCCAAGGATCAGCTTCTTCTGTTCCATGGATGGATTGGAGATGCTGGGACTTGGAAAAGAGATTCAATTGAGTGTTCGAAATTGTGAGGGGGCTAGGCACAGTAGATAAGGAGAAACCACTGACATTGGTTTGGAGAATCAAGAAATGGCAGATACCAGTTTTCAAGGTGATCAGCCTAATGCAGGGAACGGGATACGTGGGAAACCTTGGAAATGGTTAGGATCAGGAATGCACGTGGAGACAGGTTCAGTCACAGATTCCGAGAGGGAGCTGGATCGTTTCTGTGAATAGGAAAAGGCTTTCAGAGGCAATTGAGCAAAAGGGGAGACCCACTGAGTTGTTCTTGCGGGGAGCTAGTATGGACAGGGTGGGCTAAATGGCCTCCTACTGCTTCAACCAATGTCAGCCCAGCCCCTTTTCCAAACAGCAAGTGTTCAAACAAACAGTTTTCCCTGTGACTGCATTTCCCAAACACACTGTCCTGTGAATGTCTACGTATGTCACAGCCCGAACTGACCATGAGCAGATAGTGAGTGAGAAACTTTCGGTGATTAACACTCGCCCCCTGTTTGTGCAGGACCTTGGCTAGAAGGGAATACCAGGAAGATCGCAACAAGGACGGTGCAGAGCTGATAGTCGTGTTTGCTGCAAGGCAACTAGCCAATTATTGCAAATGGCTAGCTGCTCTTCATCTGCTGCTGTGCTGAAATCTTCCCATCGTGTTTACGATGCCTTTGTGTCGTATTTTCAACGTCCCCAAAACCCAGTCAGTAGGAGACATCTTCATGTTGTATTTACGATGTCCCTAACACACAGTCAGTGGGAGAAATCTTCATGTTG